CCCACAAAAAAAAACGAAAAAAAAAAAAGAAAAAGAAAAAATTAGTTAACTACCAAAAAGAAGCTTGCTAGATGCTGTTTGGTTATCCTATGAAAGTGTTACAATTCCTAGGTCTAAAATAAAGGGGTGAACTTTGCATGCTTTTGTCGAAAGGTGATCAGTTTCAAATCATTTCATGTTTTATATAACATCAGTCATAGATAGTTACGCTTAGGGTGCAACTAATCCCAACCAATGAGTAAGTCAAAAGAAGAATAAATTGTGTCATACATTCTAATAATTGGTCATATACACAATAAATCAAGTTTTCTTCCCAGCAAATGGGTATAAACTCTTCAATCTACAGCTCAATTTAGACACAAGATCAATCATTCACCAACCAAACTCGATTCAATACACATATCTAAAGTATGCAAGCTCATACTAACAAAATATCATATGAAGATAAGCCAGTCAGCTAGATTCCAACGAAATATACAATAATAGTTACAATGATCCCAAACGATTGCGATTCAGGGAAGCCCCAATAAAATTTAAATAAATAGAATGATATAGAGCGATACATCCGCAAAAAATGTTCATGTTTCACAACATATTTTAGATGGAGTCGACTTAATCAGGCTTACCGGGTTTAGATCCATTACTAGGGTTGATACTGCTTATATCAGAAATCAAAATTGAACGATTTTTGCCTCAGCTCTGTTATGCCCCTCCCCAAATTGCCTTACGGGTTGCGTTCGAGATTTGGATCGTGGGAATATGTGAACCAAATTGAAGGGAAGTTCAGTTGACAAACGAAGGCAATATCTCGATTGACGACTGCTCTGGAACTATTTTGGGGCCAGAAAAATCTATGAGTTCGATGACCTCCTCGACGTCCTCGTGGTATACTTGCCGGGGGCTTCTCGCTTCCAGTTGTTTTGCCTTTTGAAGTGTTCGGAGACACGACGTGGAAACCATAGACAAGGAGATCCTATTCCACGAGTCGAAGAGGCTATAAATTTCACCGTCTCACCAATAAAATAAAAGGGCTAATTGCAAATTGTGGCCCGTACAAATTTTAATTTATATATTTAAAGATAAAAAAATTTTAATTTATACCTTTAAAAATAATAATTTATATCAATACCCATCTAAAACTAAAGCGTCAAAATAACAATTTGTAACATTCGAACGATCTTTCGGAGTGTAATATGAGATTAATCCTAAATAAAAATCATAATTCATTCCTATTTTCAATTTTAATTTGATTATTGAACTTTTAATTGTCCTAATTTAATCCCTCATCTATGAATTTCATCTCAATTATGTCATTCTGTCTATTTTTATTATTAGATCAAATGGGGACTAGTTTGATCGGATCAATTTCCATCGTTAAATCATATCTTTTCATTTAATCTAATAGTGGACTTTAACGAAATGACTTAACTAAAAAAAATGATAGTTAAGAGAATAAATTGTGACAATTGAAAATTGAGACTTAATTGAAACAATTAAAAGTTTAAGAATTAAATTAAAATTGAAGTCAAAGCTTAGGGACAAATTATAAAATTTACCTTTTCTTTAAGTTAACTTGCAACCCAAGTGATTCATGATGAGTATGAAAATATTTATATAAGAAAAAACAAAAGAAATTAAAAAAAAAAAATTTATAAAAAAAGTAATAAATAATCAAGAAATACAACAAATAGTTCAAAAATATTATCAAATAACTCGTTATAAGGTACCAATAATGTCATACTACTATGGATATTGACTTGTTGCAGATCCTGAGAGGTTTAGGTTTGCTACGGAGACATCATTCGAAAGTTGTCATGTGAGTTTTTGGATCAAATCGCCAATTCTCCTCTATAAGAGCTTTTAACTTTATTTTGTTCTATATCTTAGTGTATCTAATATTACTCTTCTATATTATTAATTTATTTTGTAAAAAAAAAATGTAAAATTTTCAACTTGCACCTAACACTAAAAAAATTTGGTTTATAGCGACGGATAGAGAAAAATGTCAACTAGCAACATTATGCTTGGTTGCCCTCTGTCAAACTGAAATTTTGGATCAATAAACTTGCCTTTTTCTTTACTTTTTAACTGTTTTGTTCAATTTGTGAAACTTTAGTATGTTTCTTCTGGTAATAGTTTGCGTCAGTCAAAAAAGTTGATTATCTGATTCTGAGACATGGTTTTATTACCGTAAGTCAAAAACTTATATCTATTGAATCACATTTTTTTTTGTATATGACGATGAATCACTATTAAAATACCAAATATTACACATTTAGCAACTCAAAGTCAGGTGGTATTTGGTTACCAAAAATACATCAGCAGATCACTTGAAGAGGATTTTGCAATTGTTATGGGGATCAGGTTGGTTTTTTTTTTTTTTTTCGCAATTGAATTTGATCCATTCCCATGATGGATTGATTATTAGACATAAAACTTAGTGTACCGATACATCAAATTCGACTTATTAGTGGATAAGTCCATAGTGGAAAATATTTTGTAAAAAAATTCTCTAGAGAATTAGAAAGACTTGAATATCCTTTTAATATAGAGCAGTTGCGTAAAACCATAATAAATTCTCTCCATAATCGTCGGTTTCTCTCTCTTTCCCATCCTCTAATTCCTTTTTTTTTTAGGGATATGTTTCAAAG